AGCAGCTTCTCGACGGAAATTACAGAGGCACGAATAATGCTTCCTAAACGCCGTTTACCTCACATGACTTGGCAGGAGTTTCCCGATGAGCCAATGATGTCTCTCCTTGGTATGACCTCATGGTCACGGGAGAGGATGCTGACGCAAGGGCTCCCCTAACCTCCATTGTTCCCCCTGTGCAAAGCCCCTTCTTCCACTCTGCATCTGGGTAAAGGGGGGGAAGAGGGGGGGAAAAAAGAAGCGGAGGACTGGAATGAAAAGCTGGAGTCGTGACCGTTCCTGGCAGCTCCAGTCAAAATGTTTTTCTTTTTTTTTTCCCTCCCTCTTTTTCTCCCTCTTCATTGCTGGTGTAGAGTTCCTCCTCTTCGTGTTGGCAAATGATCTCCCTTCTTTTTTTTATTTCTCTACCTTGTCAGGTAAAGGAAAACAGGCTGAAGTGATACAGGCTTCGTATTAACATGTGAAACGAAGAAGAAATTGCATGTCATTCTTTTAAAATTTTAATACTTTCATTCGGTTTGAAACATGCGACGTTTACTCGTGCCCTTTGAGATGAGTAATTCAGTTGGAATGGAGTTCCGGGAAGCGAAAGAGAAAGTTTGCAGAAGGGGTGGGATGGGCTTGGGAGTTCTCGGCACGGAAGACAAAGGTTTTTGTTTACTGCATGTAATGACTCGGAAGTAAAAAAAAAAAAAAAAATTCTTGACATCTTTTTCCGGCTAATGGACCCGTCTTCGCGAGAGGCAATGGAGAAGGAAAGAGGGAATACATTTCTGTCGTGTGAAAAATTGCATGAAAAAAATAGAGAATTCCTGCCCTTCGCTTGAACACATACCGTTGAAACATAAGAGTGAGTAAAAGCAGAATTTTCGACCGGCCAATGACATCGCTGGACTTAGGGTGTTAAGTGGATTGCAAAACTGACCTAGGAAAGGAAAGTAGAGCAAATGAGGAACAAATATGTACGTGTCGGCGGCTCTTAAATCCAAGTGATTCGGTGAAATCTTGAGGGAAAGATTGATCTACTCATCCCCTGTCACTAAGGCTCCATTTTTATTTATTTAAAAATACCTTGAATGCTATGGGTGGGTGGATTGCATGAAAATGACTTTAGCCTGATAGAGCTTTAAATTTCCTTTAGCGCCGCTAAAGGTGGATTAAACCTCCTTTAACTCCGCTAAAGGAGATATAGAGCTCCATTAGGCTAAAGTCATTTTCGTGCAATCCACCCTATGTCTATAATAATCGACGATGGGTCCCCTAGGAAGTAGTCGGGGCTGAAAAACGGTGTGTCACGTCCACGTCGGCACCCTGCCAAGGAGTCTGTGAAGGAGATCCAAGAGGAGGCGTCTTTTTCCTCCAGTTTTTTTTTCCGCCGCCATCGAACTAGGACCCGAATCCGCGTGTCTCGCTAAACGATCAGCGTTGAGAGGCTGCCAATGGGAGATGAAAGAAGAAACGGGGGGAAGGGGGGGCGAGGGGGGGGGGAGCACCGTGATGGCGGTTCTTCCCCCGTCGTATCCAATTGCACTGGAGCCGGGCGAATCAGGGTTTATATCTGGAAGAGTGTTCATCGGTTGTAACAGTCGTTGGTGTAGCTGTGCTGGTTTGCCATTCCAAAAATTCTTCGAAACCATGAGAAGTTTTGCGGTGAATGACATGCTGCCGACGTAGCTCGAGGAGGGACATGCCGCAGGCTTAGCCCGAGGGGCGAGCATGGACTATTGGGAGTTTTTTTTGTCGAAAATGTTCAATGTACGACACAGTAAATGCGAAAGTGAATATGAATTTGTGCCTCTGTCGCCTTTCGTCTCTGATGGGGTTGGATCCCCTCCTCTGCCCCGGGAGGATCTCGCTTCATTTCCCGACTCGTTCTGTGTCGCAGAGAGGAAGTTGTTCGTGGGGATGCTGAGCAAGAAATGCAACGAGAACGACGTCCGTGCCATGTTCAGTCCCTATGGTCAGATCGAGGAATGCACCGTCCTAAGAGACGCCAATGGCCATAGTAAAGGTGAGACCAGATGGGCTTCCCCGTACCGCGGGGGCAGAAGAGGGACGAGGCGAGAGCAGTCCCGAGTTTCGGGATTCAAAAAGGGGGAGGGGAAGGGAAGGGGGGGAAGGGAGGAGGGGAAGGAATCCAGTCACGTCTTTTCGGGTCAGATTGGTTTCTCTTCCACTTCCTTGCCTTTTTCTTTCCCCCTCCCCCCGTCTTTGACTCATTGCCTCGCCTATCTAAACCGCCTTTTCCCCTTCTTCGAAGACGTCTGCGGGAATGAAGGAGTCGATTGTTGTGTCTCTCGTGCGTAGGTTGCGCCTTCGTGACTTTCACGACCCGACAGAGCGCCTTCAACGCCATCAAGAATATTCATCACTCCATGACGATGGAGGTGAGACGCTTTGCTTCCGTCTTTTTCCGTCTCGTCGGGTTGCGATGTGGGGCGGTGGGTGACCAGTAGGAGCGCGTTCGTGAAAGTGGAGGAAATGGGGGAGTTCAGGCGTCTTTTTTAATGCCAATTTTGAATCCTTGGTCTGAAGGGGGTCGGGAGTAGCTGCGATGACGGATCGGTTTTCTACGCGTTGGCTCGTACACGGCGATGCAAAACAGACAAGGTCACCTTACACCCCAGTGTTGTGTTTTACAGGAGCTTTTGTTTTTACCGAGCTGTCATTGGACACAATGGGTTCTCGCACTCGGAGAGAGATAATACATGGTTTCGCGGTATGAATACCGTGTCTTCCCAAGGGCGCTAAGCCCCCTGCGATGTTGAGGAAAATATTTGAATCGCCGTTTCGAGCGTAAGGTTCCTGCTAGCGTTTTATGCACGCCTGCTTCATGCTAGAAATCATCCTTCATCTTGTAGTACACAATGGATGAGGGAATGGGGGGGGGGGGTCCAGTTACAAGTGGCAAGAATGAAGAAGAATGAAGCACTTTGATCCAGTTGAAATGTTTGTAGGTCTATTTCGCTAATTCTGCCCAGGGTTGCTCGTCGCCTCTGGTGGTGAAGTTTGCCGATACACAAAAAGAGAAGGACCAAAAGAAGATGATGGCGATGAAGCAAAGCCTATGGAACATGGGGAACATGAACATGGGCAGTCTCACCCCCCAGTACCTCTCGGTGAGTGCTGGATTCTCTGTTCGTCGCGGTTTTCTTCTTCCTCGCAGGGTCAGGAGGGGGAGGAGGCTGTCGGTGCATGACCTGTTGTAATTGTGCTTTTTGTGTACACGATTTCCTGGTCTGGGCTTGGGAGCTTCGATGAGGAAACCCCGGCTTGGGAAGTGGTTATCCCCATGGTTGTTGAATTCGACTCGGCGAAAGCTAGGTTCGGTGAGCAAATGGGCGGTGGCGATGGTTTAACTGCTGTTTCTGGTTTGAACCTGAAATTCGGAGCAGATGGGGGTAAAGCGTACAGATACTGCACGTACATCTGGAATGGCAGGTTTCTCTTCTCGATGGTACTTTGAATAATCTCGGTGTGCCTGAGTTTCACTCATGTTCCCTGTCGTTGTGGAATCGAGGGATGCCGAAATCCTTCATGTGGTGATGGTCTCCTTATGAGTGTGGGACGACATTTCATACAGGCGTGTCTCTTACGTGTTCATTACCTCTCCTGTCATGTTTACCATTCCTCGTGTTTGCAATCAAGGTTTCAGTGATCAGGATTCCAGTTCGATGAAGGGAAAATAATTTGTTAAACAGTATTCGTGGGGTTTCGGTTTCATGAGTTTATTATTTTTTATCACTTTGTTAACCCTAGTTAATTGTTCTTTTGTTCATTAAACAACTCTTCTCTGGTGCGTGGAATTGTGCTCCCCTTGCTTGTGTACCCTGACCGTCCTGTATCTGGTGTTCCCGTGATGTAGTTGTTGCAGAGTGTGGCAGCATTAGCAGCCCAACAGCAGCAGAGCACTCAACAGGCCACAAATCCCCCAGGCGGGATGGCAGCCGCGGCCAACGCGGCTGCGGCTGCCGCCGGCCTCACTCCCCTCCAACTACAACAGTTGCTTGCGGCAACCTCCAACACTGCGGCCTCTCAAGGTCTGCATAATCCCCCTTCAGGTAGGTAAATTCAAAGCCGTGTCAGGCTGTCACTTGGGATTCGGGGGAGGGATGGTGAACGTGATGCTTTCTCCCCCGTCTGTTGCGTAATGAATCCACGGCGGAGCGCTGTTTACATATCATCGACTTGATAGAAACTCCAGTGCAGTGGAATTTCTAAGATCAAGATATCATGGTTTATGATGTTTCGGAAGGATGTGGTTTGTTAGAGCACGATCTTTTGTGCAAGACGTAGAAGTGGCTGACTGGAGCAAGGTTGTGCATTGGATAGAAAAGCAAACCAAAAAAAGAGCATGTCATGCTAATTGAAGGGTCCTCAACGAGCTCACGGTTGACTTTTAGCCATAGGTATTGTTTACCAAGGGCTTCACATACAGCACATTCCAAAGAGGCATCAAGGAAGCTGCGGGGAGGGATGATGGGGCGGGCAGTGGGACAGGGAGGGAGGTGTGTTGCTTCTTTTTCTTGCACTCTTATCGTACAGGCCTGTCAACAGGTATCTTGGTAGGCCAGTGGCATATTTACGAAGGGAGGGGGGGGGCCGCCCCTCCTGGCGCCCCTGTGAGATAATTTTCTCCCTTGATATCACTAGGGTGGGGTTTGGTACCCCTGCTCTGCTGCCTTGCCCCTCCTGCCTCTTCACCCAAGATATGCCACTGTGGTAGGCTTTTGATGCATCACAAAATCTGTCAACTGTTCAACTGTAAACAATCGCATTAAATACGCCTTATCATAACGGAAAGTAGATGTAATCCTTGTTTGAAACTATAGCAATGTTGCTGGAAAGATAGAAGTCTCTTTTCTTATTCTTGGTTCCTGTCATAGTTCCATGACTTGCTCCGATTGTGAGCTGTACTCCAAAGTTCCCAGTTCTGTTATAATGTCTAAAGGAAACTGCTAAACATAAGATTGGAGTCGACAAAGAAAATGCATCCCCTCACCTGATATTATGTTGCCATTTAAAATTGTCATCTGGTTTGTGACTGATCACAAGCAAGTCTTTTATTTTTTTTACAATCATATGGCATGGTACATGCACTCAGCTGATGTTTTAATTTAAGATATTTCTTATGAAATAGGAAAGTTGCTCTAGTCAATATGTGCACTGCTTACCAGCTTCAAAGGAATACCCATCAAGTGGCCTGTTTTTTTTTTAGTTATGGAGATAGAGAGATTCAAAACACACCAGCATGCAGTTATATAATTTTTCACCTTTTACACCTGATAGTTCTAGTCCTTATATTCTACTTATGGAAAATTTGTAACTGGAAAGCACGTGACGTAGCTACTCCTAGATATCACATTTGTTAGAAAGAAATAGGATTATTTTATAGATGTGGAGTTAGACATCCATGCATGTCAATGAAGCTGTTTTCATTAATCTATCAAGCTGGTAATTATTTGTTGCTGTGAAAATGCAATATTGATTTTCATGGAAAGGGGATAATTGCAATTTCTCTGGGTGATGTAGGCAGTGTTCATTGTCTTGCATGAGTGCCAAGATTCCATTTATTTGATTTGCCAGGATGATCTCCTATTCTCTGTTCTGTAGTCTAGTTTCTTAATGCTAGCAAATAAATGCTTCTCCATATGGAAATAATGGGGGGTTTAGCTTGCCCAAGATTGATGGCAGCATTTGGAGAGGAATAATTCTTACCTGACATCACAGTTCATGACCATGCATGAATACTTGCCCCCACCTCTTTTATTAATTTTTTTTTCAACTTTCTTGCATACAATGTAATTCATGTTACACATCCATATTGGTCATTATGGTTCTTGAGGAACTGATATATGTCAGTTGTCACAGCTAGCGACTTTAAATGAACTTCATGACTCAGACATTTTACTACTGTCTAAGGCTTCAACCAAGGTGAGTTGGAAAATGCATCAAGTTTCCCCCTTGCGTCCATCTGGGTTTGATACTGGTATGGAAGAAAATGGAATTGTGAGGAACTTCCATGCCAAGAGATGGAGCTGCACAATATGTGATTGCTTTTTGAGACATTAGGAATAGAAAGTTAAGTTAGCTGTGAGTGTTGCCCACTTCAGTGATTATGGTAATGTCCTGATTTTCTTTCTGAACATGGTAGCAGCTGATAAGGTACATATGTCTCACTCATTTTCATGCATTTTGGGATGGAAAGTCTTTCCAAAAGAATGAAGTGATATCTGACCTGCCTGAAGGATGAGCTAAATGTTGGTGTTGCTGCCATATTCTCTTATTTGTCTGTGTCTTCAATGCTATTCATTCATGTTCTGGAACCCCTCCTTCCATATTTCTTTATATTTTTTGTATTTGTGACTTTATATGTAACAAACTACAACTAAGAGAGGGAAGTTTTCCTCTTTTTTTCCTTATCATGAATGTGCTCTGTGCCTTGAGAACCATAAAATTTGACTCTTAATTTGTGTCTAAGTCTTGAAGTTGAAAATCTGAATCAGTCAGTAGTGGTTCATTTAGAACTTTAGAAAATTTGAGCATGGAGTAAGCATTGCGAAAATATGCAACAAACTTTACCCTTTCCTAAGAATGAACTATCATTTTGCTATAGAGTATGTTTTTACTTTTGTGTAAAGAAGAACTGTCTTTGATGAGAAGTGAGTGGCAAACTGTTTGAAAATAAATTATGGCCTTATGGATTTTTTTCATGATTAACTTGCTAATGTGTAAGTACTTATGTGCTTGAGAGGTTATCATTCAAAGAATGGGATTTTGAGTTGCTTGCCTTATCCTCCATGATGTCAGCTGAAACTGCTTGATAGAGGATTTCTTCTATGTATGGTGGTTTAATTTCAGGGTTTAGGAAGTAGTACAGGGTGAGAAAAAAAATTGGAATACATTTTTTTACATATTGCCCAAAATGTTCAATGTGCACATTCATCGACACTTCATATGAGCATTGCTAATCTTTTGTTGAGTATCCATTGTCATGCAATGAAAATGATCTGTCTATAGAACATACAAGTTCCAGGGGGAAAAAAAGTAAAAAAAATGTATTCTATTGAGCTGTTGCTGAGATCCCATTGCTATTGCCACCTCTTATATTCTCACATAATTGGATGGGTACTTCTTCAGCAGCATTCTTAATCAGAGGATGCCATTCAGTCATATCAGTTGTGTTTATCTACTGGATGACACATTAGCTGGATGTTTCCCAATTGCATGACTATCCTCTTCCCTGTATTCAAGGGATCTTCTGACATTCTCACTGCCAGTAATCCTATCATATCTACACTCATTTGTTGATATTTTCACATCTGAAGAAATATATTCTTCAAATGCATGCATGCAAAATATTTATCAGATTTAATGACTTTTAGGTTTCTATGGGTACCATAAAGTTTCCCTTTTCTTTGCCTACCCTAAATATTTCAAACTGTCTTGCAAAACAAAATATAAAATCCATAAGAATCCTATGGGACCTTGCTCTCCTCATTCTGGCTTCTTTTTTGTGATTGGCTGTGAGAAGTCCCCATTTTAATAGAGGCCCTGATGCTAGATTACTAGTCTTTTCCTTCATTGCATCTGACGTATGAAATGGTTTAATATCATGATACCATGGCAACTTGTCAATATTGTGTAAAAGCTGTGAAATAAGGCTGTGTACTGGTTTCATCAGATGAGGTCACTTGTTTGCTGTCTTTTTTCAAACAAACCATGTAAAAAAAAAAAGCCGAAGGGGGTGAGGGAAGAAAGGCATGATTGTGTGACCTGATGTGCATTCATGTTAATGGAGGTGACTCTGGCTGTCTTTTTGGTGAAAGCATTGCATGGAGTCGACTGGTCCGTTTTAGGCCTGGCCGGCTTGGCAGGACTTGGGGGTAACCCCAATATGAACTCCTCCTCGCCCACTGACAACTCCCCCAGCCTCCAAAGCTTGGCTGCTCTTGCCAACCTATCTGCTGGCTCTGGTGAGATCCCCTGGCTTTCTTCTTGTACTTTCTTCCTTTCCCCCCCCCCCCCCCCCCATCCCAACTCTGCTCTGGTGTTCATACCTCTGTTTCTATGTATATTTTCCCAAGTTCAGCTTTCTTTCATTGATTTTTCATCTGCTCACTTGGATGAGTCTGTTCTGATGCTGATCCTTTGCATCATCTCACCCATCTTTTTTCCTGATTTCATTAACTTTTCATTTCTTGCCGTTCAATGTCACCTGTAAAATAGGGTGCTGGAAACTTATTAAATAAATTTAAAATAGCTTGTAGAAGATCTGTTTCTTGAAATCTTTCTGTGGAAAGGATGTGTTCCAGTAAGGTCAGATTAGGTAATAAGTATTGATATTTTTGTCTTATTTGACACAGTTAGATGCTTTTATGACTGTCGATGCTTATAATATGCAAAAACTATGTATGCATTCCAAGTTTAACATACAATATGGATTTAGAGAACTCTAATGTCTTTGCTATAAAAGTTAGTTATATTGCTATTGTTTGTAGTTAGAGAGTAAATTGGCCTGTCTGTCTCATTAAATGACAATGGAGACTGGAGATCCGATGGATATATGTGCTTTTTCTGCAATGTGCTTATGAAAAATAGTTTTAACTTCTTTTATGTGGCAGCTCAAGTAATAGCTTGAAAGACAGGTGCATTTCCCCCTTTCTAGTGTTATATCTTGCAGATGTAATGTTTGAGGCTTCACCCTTCCTCCATCTTTTGCTCATCTTTCATCTCCATTCCCTTGTACTCTATTGACTGTACTCTACTGGTAGCAAGTATAGAAGTAATTTTCAAACTAGGGAGCATCTGTCCATTGCATGCATGTAGAGGGGAACTCTCATATCATTTTCCCTGTCGTCTACCATCCTCTCTCAGGTCTGAACCACATGAGCATGCAGAATTTGGCAAGCCTAGCTGCTCTGAGCAGTGGGAGTAATGCTGTTTCACCAAGTGGTCAGTGGATTTCTGTGCTTCTTGTCTTGATCTTCAGGAAAGTATGCTAGAAAAAGAGAGATTCAGATATATATCCAGTACAAAATATCAGAATGTGAGGGACATCACCTTGCTCACATGATGTTACTTGAGCCCAATTCAAGGACTCTGATGAAAGGATGTATATCTGAAGCTCCCCTTGTATAACATCTAAAACATCCTTATGACTAGTTGCAAATTTCCTGTGATGAAATACACAGTACTACTTGGTTTTCCTTCATATCTCAACTGGGGATCTCCTCTCTTTTCTTCCATATATTTTCATCTGGATCTCCTATTTCTCGACCTAAGGTTCTGGGTCATCTGGACTGAACTCAGGTTTGTCATCTGTCATCACAACTGTTTTTACTTGCTCCCATGCATGTTTTGAGCATGTGGTTCATGGGATTGAGGTTAATTTCCCCCCTTCCCCCCCCTTCCTCTAGTAGGTTTCACATGAGTTTAGAGTTGTGGGGCAGGTGATATGGGAGTGCTGGAAGGTTCCTTCTTGGATTCTCCATTGTCCCCAGCTCTCAAGTCTTGTGATACCTTGTTGTTGTCACTATGATTTTCAGCAATATTGCATGGTACCACTGTCTTGTGAGGTTAATGAGTGGCATCATACCAGTACCTTTTGGGATTTTTGTGATCCATGCGTGATCCATGCTTGGGTCCGTTTTCATCATGGTTGATGCTTATTTTGAGCTTGAAAGGTGACCATAGCTCTGGGTTTATGTTTTGTGTATTGTGGTTGTGATGTCCCCTGTATCTTTTGTGTATGCATTTTTAGAATGCTGGTCTTCTGTTGTTTGTATTCAGTGGAACCCTACATGTATCCATTGATGCCTCCCAAAGATCCATCAAATTGGTTGGCTTGACAGTATGTAGTAATTGGTAGAATTGGTAGCTATAGGAATTAAGAATTTATTTTGCACACAATTTTTGAATCACTATCTTCATCTTGGAATTGGCTCTTCATTGGAGTAAAAAGTCCTTGCCCACCTTTTGAATGTTAATAACTTCTCAACACTTGATCTCATGGAGATGTGGTTTTCACCGTTTCACCAGGCAAGACAATTCTATATACGAGGAAGGATTTTTGCATTATTTTTCCAATGGAAATTAAATTCCTGTTTTTGGGTCATATAGCATTGGCACCCAAAGCATACATGCAGCACTGTGTCTAATTTTCTGTTCAACTGTCAAAGGTTGTCCAGATTGGGGAAGGTCTGCTACATTTCTTGTCCTGTCAAAATTTGAGTTGATACGGGCAAACAACTTGCAGCTGACGATTTCTCTGATCAATTTCTTCCTGAATTGTTGAGCGGTTTGCATAGCATTTGGAGTAAAACTGAACTTGTGCTACTTGCTTATCATTGATCAATCATTTATCAGCTTTTTTCCTCAATCCTCCATGAATTGGAATTGATCACTGCCAAGGCACAATAACTCTCATACTTGAAAAGACAATAGGATGCAATGCCACAAGGATGCTTTCATGTGCCAATGCCTTTGTATAGCCCCCAGGATAGGAATTTAATATCTGAATGATACTATAAGCAAAATATTGCAAAAATCCTTCATTCAATACAGAATTGTCTAGTCTTCCAAATGGTTAAAACAGCATCTTGATGAGATCAAGCGTTGAGAAGTTATTCACGTTCAAAGGGTGGGCAGGAATTTCGACTCACCCTATATGCAGTGAATTTGAAAATGTTTGTCAATTTGAATTCACTTCAGTATTTGACCAGGGGTTTACATAATTGATTCTCACAATGAAAGGGTTTACAGGTTCATATATTGATCAAAAACAGATTGTGTGGACCTCTGAGCCTCCTTTGTGTATCAAGCTCCTTCAACTCTTACATGAACTGCTCAGGGCCTAACTATTGCTTACAAAGGAATATTAAGGCTAAGAATTTTATATTTAAAAAAAAGCTAAGGTGAATGTCCTTATTCAATATTAGGTGCCAAGATTAGGCTACCTCTTCTATTTTGTCATTCCTTCTTGCATCATTTCTCCTTGCATTCAATGCAGAAACAGTGAGTGTGCTCAAAGGCTTTCTTTACTGAGAATCAGATGTGAGCAATTATGTAAACCCCTGATTGTGACCCTTTCTTGATTACCAGGGTTATAGCTCCCATAAGTTCTGGTGCTTTGCAACATTGAATAACTAAGGCCTCTCATCTCTCAAGTCTTGTATCTTCTTTCTGGCATTCTACCCTGAATTCATGCTGCTCATGATTAAGATTTAAACACAATTGCACAGTTGTTGCTTAATTTTAATAATTCATATATTCATGTAAAATGCTTGCAAAACTGTTGGACCATTGAGCAGCAGTAACTTGTAAAGGATTGTCTCAGTTTCACATATTCTCTGACATACAGGGCTACTTTCTTGTAAGAATCATATTTTAAGTCAATGCTCTCTTGTTAGAGCTTGGACAAAGAGACACTGGAGATGGCAGCTTCTCTGGAGGGATTTTAGATGGTAGTGAATTGCTGTGAGTGACATTGTGATTGGAACTTGCTTGGCAGGGAGTGGGAGTAGCATGTCGCCTGCCCTTGGTGCCGCTGCTGCAGCTGCCATGGCCAATGCAGTCAATGGTCTTGGCTCTTGTACGTCACCTGCTTCCTCTGATCATCTCACCTCACCTTACTCCTATGCCAGTGAGCGAAGAAACCCAATTGCTGTTACAAACTCAGTGGATTGGATGTTCAAATCCTGTATGAAACTGTCTCCATTATTTGTTCTTAATGTATTGATGGTGATAGAGTGTGGCCTCTTGTTGCAGCATTCCCAGGGTTATTTGGGTCAAATGCTGCAGCTGCAGCAGCAGCTGCTGCAGCGGCGGCAGCAGCCGCAGCCTCGGGAAATGGGAACGGAGGAGGTAGTCCTGTGGGCAAACAAGTAGAAGGTCCTGAAGGTGCCAACTTATTCATTTATCACCTCCCCCAGGAGTTTGGGGATGCAGATCTAGCTCAAACCTTCCTGCCTTTTGGCAATGTCATCTCAGCCAAAGTCTTCATTGACAAGCAGACTAATCTCTCCAAGTGCTTTGGTTAGTGATCCATCCACCATCCTTGCACAACTATTTGTTCATTCCTGAAATCGATTTTTGTCACATGGATGGTCCATTGAATTTAGGTTTTGTGTCATATGACAACCCATTGAGTGCCCAAGCTGCCATCCAGGCCATGAATGGCTTCCAGATCGGGACAAAGCGGCTGAAGGTGCAACTGAAGCGCTCCAAAGACGCAAGCAAGCCGTACTGACCAGGCCCTCGGACCCTACGACCCTCCTTCCTTATTCTGTTGTAAGTGATACGACATTCCGTGGCCCCCTCCCCTTCTTTCCTTCTCCCTTCTTCCACATTAGTCCTGGCCTCCATCTGTGAAAAATTTGAGACTCAGGATAAGAGGCAAGTCAGCATGACAAGCACAATGTGAGTATCTTTAGTCTTGAGAGGATTTTGAAAACTAAGCAAAGAACCTTGTTGGTTATATACATGTATTGTCCCCATGTGGACGACGAAACACGAAACATATCAAGTGGATATTTGACAAAAGTGCCAAGGAACACGTGCCATATCGACCTGGGTCTGTGTCTCTCCTTTTTTTTAATACTTTGTGACTGAGTCTGTGTTGTGTATGATGATGAGAGGCACTCCTGACTGTGTCCAGGTGGACTGAGGAAAAGTGTATGTGATTTAAGGCATGCATTTATTTATTGTGAGAGCTGCCTTGGTCTCAACATATCATTGGGAGGAACTTTACATCATCTCATACTCACCTTCATGGTGGGACCATTGTGTCATGAACTGACAGCACTGAGGCTCACTTGTGATGTCCTTTTGGACCTGACATGAATTGGGATCTGATTTTTATTTCATTATATAGTCCAGAGTCTATTCATTCAGCCATTTCACTAGTCAACTCTTATTTCCTAAAATTAACCTTAATCAAGACTGTGCATGGAGGAAGAGGTAGCTCATTTGTTGATTTTATTCTTTATTGACTTCTTCCACATCTTTTATCTTGAGATTTTCTTCTTATTTTTTTTCTGTGTGAAGCCTCTTAATGAACTTGTTGTCTCAGAGTCTTGTAGAGATAACCTTCCTAACAAAATACTGGGATCATAACCTGAAGATGTGCCTTGATATTAGAGACCATTAGTGAACTAAAAAGAAACCAGTCTCTTCAAGTGGATTCCAGTTATGAAGGCAGATTGTCACAGTACTTGTGGGATTTAATGGCTACAGTTCAATGATGAGAAGAAGCAGAAAAGACCCCTTATCTAGAAACCAATTTCTTGATAAGATGTATCTGAGTAACTCATGAAATATACTGAAGGTCATAGGATGTTAACTGTTCTCCATGCAGACTGGTGCATGAAGGTTCAGTCTTGTGTAGAAGTGCTTGGTAGTTTGATGGTATTTTCCCTGTAGCTTCTCAGTATTCTTCCTTTCATTGCCAATGTTTTTTTTGTTTTTTTTTTTTTTGGTGATGTACATATATTTGTGTTGGTTTATGTTCATGTTTTATTTATGTTGCTGTGTTTTTCTTTTCATTTTTTTTTCCTCTCCCCTTTCCCTTTGGTCCTTTCCAAGATCTGTAGGTGGCGTTCATGTGGAGTCCTGATGTGGTTCAATCCTCAGCCAATGTCTCTGTGTTTCCCGTCTCCTCGTGCATGCCATGTCTCTCGTCGGGAATGCAGACATGAGTGTTAATGGGAAAAATCCCCAAACAGGAACTTGATATTTGTTCTAGAAGAGAACAAAACAAAAAGCTACAAAAAAAGAGCAAAATTATATCATTGGTCTCAAAAAAAAAAAGAAATGCCCAAGCTCAGTTTCTGATCCTCATGTTCTTTCTCTCCTTTCCTTTTTTTTTTTTCATGTCTCCTAATCTCTACCTTTTTGTTTCTTCACTTCTGTGCTTCTATCCAACTTTTTTGCATCCAAGCCTAATTTACCCCAATCCGTATATTGGGTGCATATTCTGGAGACACTCATGTTGAGACATAGTTTGTGGTCCTCATCCTCTTTCTGTTTCTGCTCATGTTGTGTTGAATATGAATCAGAATCAAAACCATCTAATAATCCTTCTGTGTTGTGAAACCTTTGAGAGAGAGAGATGCCCAAAGAAGCCAAAGATGAATCCCTGTACTTTCCCTGCTCGTGTTAACACGTTCCGAAGTCCATGTGAGCCCCTCTCGTTCTGGCCCCACCCCATCACCGTCTTTGGTGGGACCAAACATAAAAAGGAAAGAAAAAAGAGATATAAGGGAAACTTGCCGTCCTATCACTTTCTCCACGATCGTTCTGGGTCTTGTCGACAGCCAGTGTTTTTTCCTTTTGTGCTTGATTTTTTTTTTGACTCCTGTACTTTTCTAGAAATTTTTCCATGGGTGTATCTTGTTGTGGTTTTTTTGGGTCAAGTTTTGCTGTATTATGTACATGTTTGTCTGCCAACCATGCTGTGGTTTGTGGTTGCTATCCATATGATGATTATCTTTTCCATAATTTATATGATGAGAGATGCTATAGTCCTTGAAGAATATTGTGCTCTTTGTCTATCTCCTACCATGTATTCCCTTTCCTCGTCCGGCCTGTTTTTCTTCGTCCCGCGTCGAAGCGTTCGGAGTTGTTGATCTATTCAGTCAGGACAAAAGGTGATCCCCGTGTGGTATCTTGCTTGTCACCTTTTTTTTTTTCCACGAAGCAAAGATAAAAGACAGTGTGTTTGAGCTGTTGACAAACGAGAAGAAAATTTTTAAGATGTACAACCCGATTATTTAAGCGAAGCTGTTGCGCATATCCCCGTTGTCTGATCATTCCGTGGTGCTATTGATGATGAGCAGGGATTTGCCACTTGAATGCCGTGTCTTGAGCGCGTCTCTCCTCGGTTTTCAAAAGTTTCTCTTCCCTGTCCCAACTAATTTTTTTGTTAGTTTTTTTTTCTCGTTCTTTCGAGCCTACGCCAACCTCTGTCGGTGGCGCACGATGAGTAAGATGTGCAATATGGAACACTTGAACTCTTGGGCCCCTCCTTGCTGTTTCTGTATCTCTATATACCCTGTCTTTTTTCTGACTGAGTGGAAGAATCAACGGATGGAGCGAGACATCTATTCCAAAAGAAAAAGCCCTGATTCCAGAAAATACAAGAATTATTCCAGTGACAAGTTTTTTTCGTTTGTTACAAACATGAGTCACACAGTTGAAGAGGTGTTGTTTCATTGTTGTGTATAGTCTGTGGTCACTGTTACAAGTGAATTACGAGGAGAGATGGTGGTGTTTTCTGTCGAAGAGTCGAGAGCAACGAGAGAGTATTGTATCAATGGCAGCAGAGATTGGGAAGAGAATAAAAAAAAAAACTATTTTCAGTTTGCAAACAAGTGTGTTGTTTCATCATTCCGTGGACATGAACACGAGCCAAGATTCCCACAAACTTGGGAAAGTCGGAGAAATCGGAAAGGGATTGAAGTTTCCCAGTCTGAGAAAATTTGGGGGGGAAAATTGTTCAAATTGAGAAGATTGAGTCAAGTTTTGTGACATCTGTCCCCTTTAAGAATACCCTTAACTCTAGTTTCTCCGAACATCATTAATCCGGACTTGTTTACAGAAGAGATAGAACGCGACTGAAATATTTCTTTCCCTTTCCCGCATCTCCTCATCACATTACCCCAGGAATTGATAAAAGCAAAGCCCTTATCTCGTTTCGCTCCCCGCCTTTCCTGGTTGCGGCTAATGAGGTTTGCAACCGTCATGGAGACTTCTATTACATCGTTGCCGTTCTCATCCGTCCTTGTCATTAGAGCTTCAATTACTTTCTTGCTTCCCCTCGTGAGTAAGCGTTCTTGGCTTGATCTAATGTTTTTTTTTTGCGGGAGTCTGGGCAGAAAAAGATGCTCCGATTCTTCGATGCGACTAAATGGAATTAATGGTTCTCATTCGCATGAGGGAAAGTGAATGAATGAATGCGCTTTCCAAGTGTGCTTTTTTCCGCCAGGCAAAAAAAAAAAAAAACAAGGTTTTCTATTAGCGTTGTCTCGTGTAGATAAGAAATTCAGCGAAACGGACTTGTGACACAAAAGGATTCTCTCGGGCATCTTGAAAATCTGGAATGAAGTTAACACATTTGAATGCACAATATCTACAGAACGGCATAGACGACGGGATGGCATCCCCTTGCAACGTCATCAGCCTGACGGATTTCCCTTCGGAGATGAGACAGAAAAATTGATCAATCGTATTTACAGTCGATCGTCTTTCCTGGTTTGTGTCAGATGATGAGGCAATCCACGTGAAGGTGACCCTGCCTGCTTTTCCCCCGCGGAATGCACACGCACGCTCGTCATCCACTCCGGGCGGGAGCGCGTGCGATGCGAAGGCAACTGCAACGCCACGCCGCCAGAGGAGCAGTCGTCGCTCCTCGAGCCAGCTGCATCAGCCCATTGCGATTCCACGGCGGGTGGAGGCGGGTCTCGCTCTCTCGCACTCGGGTGATGGGACGCGAAACGCGTGAATCTCCACGTTTGAGGCCAGCTACGAGACTAGGCATGCTCGATGAGAGGGTTCCGCGCTCCTGCTGCACGCCAAAACACTTTCTTTTTCGTGGAGTCGAGCCGGGGTTGTACAGGTCCCTCTCTTTCGCCTCGTTACCATCTAAATCCGCCAACTTCCCGTAGGTCACAATGGAAACGGCCGACAATGAGATCGAGCGCCTGCTCCCCAGTTCGCTGACCGGTCCAGCGAGCATCTGCTGTCGCGCTCGTTCTGGCCAAGACTTCGGAAGGTCGATGGAATAAGGTAGTCGCAGCTCAGCTGGTTGCTTTTCATTGGCTGCTGCTCGTGACGTCACCGTGGAAGGATCAGGGAGCCGTGTGCGTGAGCTCGCCTTCATGTGAAGTCCAACAGCTTAACCGCTTTTTCTCACCCTCCTATAAATTTCTGCTGTATTAAATTTATGCTTAATTCTGAATTTATTGCCGTTATTTCGTCGGAGATACAGAGGAAAATGAGTAGGTCCACTTTTTCCCAGTGGTTTGGCCACGTAGGTCGGCCATCTGCAATACACGTGTCACGTACGCACACCCATGCTGCGACAATTGACTTGAAACTGATGGGTTTCGGGCCGGCACAAATTGAATGTGTGCTGTAATTTAATATTTAATGCTCAGTAAAATGAAAAAAAAATCGCAGGTTTGAATAATGTGAGAGGAGGCTTTACATACTTCCCAGCAAACATAGTAACGTTGTGGGAACGTTCCCCCAGGGTCAATACAGTGTCATCGACGTTGAAGGTCAAAGACCAACGTTCCGTGAATATTGTTGCAGTGTTATGGCATTATGATACCTTTTTAAATAGCATTTTAAAATAATATTTATGTTAATTTCATGGAATATGCATCGCCAAATAGGGAAAAAAAAAATTTTTTCGCAAAACGACAAAGAACCTATCCAGTGTTACTACCCTAGTAATACCAGATATTGGGTGAATCCTGGACCAACATTGGGCACGTTGTCTACATGCATCTTGCCATTATTGCCAATACCGGCTAAATACCGGCTAAATATTGGCTCAATATTGACTTCCCAATTTTGCCATTCCATCATCGATGCAATATCAGACTGACGCGATGATCCAATGAACCCAATTTCCACGGAGGAGTTAATTTTAAGGAAATGTTGAAGTTCTCCTCTTCCCCACTAGATGGTGGTATGGGTCTCGCTTTTCGCACAGTACACAAAGTACTCTTCCCTCCTTCCGGGGAAACATCCCTCGCAGGAGTGTTTATTACCTCACCATATGTTTTTCATTGCCTCATTATGACAATCAATAAAATCGGACACTTATTAATTTATTATTCATATATTCGAGATAGAAACATGGAGCCCAGGCAGTAAATAAGCTCATACTCCTTATGAGAAACCCTTGCATCGCAATGCATTATTCTCTCAGAAAGAGATTCTACAAATTCGATCATATAACTTTGACTCTATTCTTCGTATTTGAGAGGGAGAATTGTTTTTCCACTCTCAGTGAAAGAAATGAGGATTTTTGTTCTCCACAGAGCAGAATGGGAATCGCCTTTCCCTGTAAAGTACGAAGATTAGTACTTTCAGAAAAATATTTAATCCATTGCCTTCATTAAAAAATGACCAATTATGGAATGCTACAAGGGTGGGAGTGAACATTCCAATAAGCGACATTGCAATGTTGGCTCAACGTTCAGCCAGTGTCGAACTTCAACGTTCATCTGAGTGTTCCAATAAGCGACATTGCAATATTAATGCCAGCTGCACCGCCAACCAAACGCTGGGAAGGTTCAAAATTAGCATCCACGTAACGCTGATTGAATGTCGGTATGTTTGCTGGGTTAGTTGACACGTAGCAAGCTCGATATTAAGAATGAGATGACTTGCTTCTTGCCATCTAGTCCTGTCAGTCTCTTTTTTTAAGGAACGGAAAAATCCATCACGTCGGTCAACGAGGCAATCTTTTTTTCTATTCGTGGGAGATTCCACTTCTCTAAATTTTTAATTCCGGTTATAATAAGACTCAGTGGATCAAGTACAAAAGGGTTGTTATTTGAAGCAAAACACTTTCGACATATGGATTATGGATGATGGATTATGGATGATGGATGATGGATTATGGATTGGATTATGGATTATGGGCATGCATAGCTGCAAATGTGTGCAAAAAAGGCATTGAAACTGAGATGTAAGGACAAATCATCAAAGTTCCAAAAAATCCGCCTGGGTTAAATGAAATCAGGACTTTCACGGGTGGCTTACGAGGTTCAGAATATGAAAATAATGGTTGGATCCCATCAGACCATAGAAGACCCGTGGCACTTCATTTTCTTAACACATTGATCGCCAAGTACGAGATATCTCGTACTAACAGGACCGGATTAGAAGGGGGGGCAAAGGGGGCTGTTGCCCCTGAACCCCACTCTTCCGGGGGGGCCCCCCCAAGAAAATTAAAAGCGTTAAATATTTGCGTAAGTACCGGGGAGGGGGGGGGGGGGGGGAGCCTCAAGAATCTACATGCCCCGGGCCCCGCAACTTCTTAATCCGGCCCTGCGTACTATATTTCCATATGTCAGACGCATAGTGCGAGATATCTCGTTCTACACAGTATGGTGCATTATATTGATTCCGGCGTGGAAGTATATATGTTATAGGTGTGTTATAGTGAAAAATATGAAAGGTTTGATATTAATAAATTTTTTTCCTTTTTCCAAATTTCTGTGGCGTGTGAATAAAAAATTGGTGGCCGTCAATTTGTTAATGTGATGCCTTCTGTCATTAATTTTCCTGTCCAAGAACTTGACCCTAATGAAAGTCCTTGTACAAACATATAGCAGTATCGCTCTTCATTCCACGGAAGGGAATTTTGATTGGAGATCGACTGCAAGATTCTTGATTATACCCGTCTCCTTGTTGATTCGTGTCCTATGCCTAGCTGCAAATGTTGCCTCAAACTGTTTCATCAGGTTCAACCAGTCATCAGTAGGTTGTACATAACCGTTGAATTGACGGCTGCTGGATCCAGGTCTTCCTCCTTTCACTGCTGTCATCTGTAACCCTGATATTCCCTTATTACCCAAGGTTGGAACTCTCACGCTTTCCTTCCTGCGAGCAATGATGGCCTATGTATATGACGCTGCTAACTCACGTATGTGATCCAGAATAGCAATGTGCACGAATCTCTCAACTGGATCTGCACATCGTCACTCCCACTCGACTTCCACGGTGACGTAGTGCGCAGAGCCGCGAAAATCTCGTCCACTACTGCGCTTCGAGCTGAGACTACCTTACATTCTATCTACCCTGTGCCTTCGTTCCGACCTCGCGACCCCCCAGGATGCAGACGCATTGCGCATGCGCGGGATGGAAATACGCAGTATGGCTGCGAACAGAGAAAGCGTGAAAGGTAGGTTTGCTGCAAATTGCCCAGAGAGCCTTCTTGGCTTATCGTTAAGAAAGTAGGTATATTGCTTGGTTCTCTTACCTATAAGGAATCCAAACATGGAAATTATTATTGCCTTTCTTTTTTTAAGGCCTTAATGATGCGATGGGCCTAAATGTTCCGCCAGGTCAAGATTGATGGATAACTTGGTTGATAGCAGGCGTGGGGCGGTGGTACAAGTTGGTCAGGCCACGAGATCAGCATTATTGGAAACTCATCTTTATAGGCCCAGACGAAAGTTTTGATTGCTTCCGCAATAACTCCATGGCCCTATGAACAAAGCCTTCGATTTTAGTCTATGATGTTGGATTTAAGCTTGAATGCTTGCATGAAACTGACGGAGCATAGGCCTGGAAAACTCTCATGGAAGACAGTTAAAGTACAAAATAGACAACTGACCATAGGTAACGAAGTCTTTTGCCTTGCTTTGACTGCAGACAGAGGGGGAAATGAATTGCAGACCTTGAAAGGTTAAATGTGCGGCTTTCGTGAAGTGTGCAGCACCACGGACCAGCAGTTCACTCGCCATCAGATCCTCGAGAGACATTGGGAGTATGCCAAAGATGTCTGCATGTGCGTTGTGGACTTTTAAAAAGCTTACGACCGTGTACCCCGAGGAAAACCGTGGAGAGTTCTGCAGGAGTATGGGATGAAGGGTCAGCTATTGCGGGCCGTTCAGTCCCTATACAGCGATTGCAGAAGCTGCATCCGAGTGAGCGGGAGGAGTGAGGATTGTTTTCTGGTACGCGCTGGACTCTGGCAGGGTTGTGTCCTCTCACCTTTCCTGTTCCTCGTGTACGTGGACGGGATCTGTAGGCGCAGCCGCGGCCTGGAGGAGGTCGACATCGGTGACGTCGCGGTAAGGATACTTCTCTCTGCGGACGATGTCGTTCTTTCGACCCGCTCTCGACAGGAGCTCCAGAGCGTGCTCGATCGGTTCGACTCCGAATGCACTGCTCCCGGAACGAAACCGAGCGTCTCCAAGACACAGGTCATGGTCCTCTCGAGAAGTCCTGCTCGGTGCACCCTGCATGTCAGTGGGGTCACTGGAACAGGTGGAGAAGTTCAAGTACCTCGGGGTCTGGTTCTCGAGTGATGGGCGACACGGAAACGAGATCGACAACCGCATCTCCAAGGCTTCTGCAGTTCTGCGGGAACTTTGGCGAACCGTGGTTGCCAGATCGGAAGTTTTTCGGGAAGCAAAACTCTCGATTTTTAAGAGTGTTTATCTCCCCACCCTCGCCTATGGTCATGAACTTTGGGTAACGACCGAAAGCACCAGATTGCGGATGCAAGCTGCCGAAATGAGGTTATTGCGTCGAATGGCTGGCGTAACGCGCCGCGATCGGATGCGGAACTCTGTTATCCGCGAGAGTCTCCACGTCGAGCAGCCGCTTCTCCGGATCGAGAGGTCTCAGGCCAGGTGGTTCCGACACGCCGCATGCCCCCCGAGAGGCTCCCAAGCGGCCTCCAGGCCGAGATGATCGGCGAAAGACCTGTCGGTAGACCTCGTTCAAGGTGGAGTGATTACGTCGCTCGGCGTCGTCACGAGAGGCTCGGCATCCCACCAGTTGAGCTTGAATCTGTTGCCCAGGATCGAGATCACTGGAGGACGCTCCTGGGGATGCTCGAACCGCGACCCCATTAAGTTGTGGAAAATTGAAAGAAGAAATGAATGAAGAAAATGTATGTACGAAAGGATAAAGATTTGGACCTTGGGTTTATCATCCCTCTACCACTCTGTCTTTTATGGATTGCTACAACTGGGAGTAAAAAAAAGACAAGATCCATTCGTGACGATATCTCGTCTGGCGTGGCCGATAGTACTAAACAAGATGAAGGACTTGAGAAGTTACCAGCAAACTGCATTAACGTCACGACAGAATGGGATCTATTCCCTTGGGAAGGCTCATAATGGTCGATACGGAACCAATTTACCAGGGGCAAGGATTCCTATACAGACCAGGTCTCACACAGATTCAATTTATTCAGACCTATACTTCTAAATATATCACGCATACGAGAATTCTCACAGGATTCAGGTAATAAGGAAATTTGACACAAATCAACGAAATCGGAAGGGGTTGCTCGGGCTTCAACCGTCCGCAAGCCCTCTTCCAATGTTCGTCCTTGCTAGTTCTGTGTCCCAACTACAACGGGCAAGGAACAGAATCTGGCTCACACCAGATCCACCTAGGCCCTCGGCTCCAACCGAGTAGAACTCAGGACAGGACTGTAGAACAAGGTCTCAATTTAAGAAATGGGACCCTAGCCCGACACCTGATGGCAGTGGAACACTGTCTCTCCCTCTCCTCTTCTAGGGGGTTTTGAACTGAATTTAAATAGGGTTCTCTCCTTCGGCTTTCATCACAGTCATTACGGTATGCTGAACACTCCATGGCTAGATGAATGATCACCAATCATCTTTCATCACCAATCATCATCTTCAGATGCTGAGCGGCTTGATGACTGGATGGATGATTGAGAAAATACCGACAGCCCCGTAGGAAAATAGAGGAAGGTCGGACCTTCCATTCCGCTAGACACATGTCTTTGGAGTCCCATAGATCAGGAGCCACTTCCTTCCCCTCATGACCGTTACCTTTCCCCTAAATGACAGATCGGGGCCGGTAGGTAAGGCGCGAGGGAGAGAAGACGGATAGCAGAAATTTATTTTCCTGGAACATCCTCGTACAACCGGCGAATGGAGGATACCCTGTCCCTGGGTCACTACACATTCATTCTGTCTAGCTCCAGTCTACCTATTCCCCGACAAGTGAAACCCTTATTTCACAAAGTGGATTTAAGATCTAAGCATGTCATGTTCATGAATTCATTCCTCACTTAACTTTTGCCATTTCAAGACCAGACCTGAGCCAAAACGTCAGGCTTTAGCAGATGATAAGGAATTGCACTCCATTCAGGTTTGTGCCACCAAGCTTAACTTGGTTGGGACTAACTGTAACTGCTGGCATTTATGTCCTTCCTTGCCATAACCTTGAAAGAATCACTAAAGCCAAAATTCATAGGACCTTTGATTGTTTGACTGCTTGCTTCTATTATCTTCCCCTTCTTCCCTTCTCCCTCTCAAATTCATAATGTACGGTGTGTTTTATGATTGTCTATAAACTGAAAAGTCATGTGTTGTTTGTAGATCTAGTCCATACCAATTGCAAGAAACAAAAGTTAAAGAGCATTCCAAAGAGAACCCATGGCATCCTCACGTCTCTACACCAAAGTGGATGAGAAGTGCTGGTCTATAATATATAGCCCTCAGTATGATATGAAAATCTGCGGTCTGGAGAAGATTCATCCTGCCGACTCCTGCAAATATCAGCATATATTTGAGGTAAATAATAGCTTATAATTCCAGTTTTCAATTTCTCACTTACAAATCCCACAGGATTATCCGTGTAGGTTATAAATGATTTCAATAGCCATTGGGATTCAATGAAAACAATTAAAAGCAGAGGAGGGGCCAACCTTTGCTTTATATGGCTGGTGATTTTTTTATAGTTAAGTGATGAAAATGATGATCAAATATAAGTGTAAATCTGTAAATGCTAGGTTTTTTTCCACTGGCAACTAACTGCTTGAAAAATGATGGGGCAAAGTAAGCCAAAATCAGTGGGAAAGATTTGCAGATCTGCATATGAAAAAGGGATCTGGTAAGATCAAAAGTAAGAGCCAAACTAAGTCTTAATGAGTTGGGTACCACTGAAGTTTTGCCATTACTTTGAAGAGGTAGTACCAGAGACTTAGCACTCCAGAACCTATGTTTCATGGTTATTTTGGTCTGGGAATATCAAATGAGCCCTGTATTGGTATGCAGCCCACCTTTCATATCCAGGCTTTTACATGAACATTTTCTGTTACAAGTTTGTCTAAAAACATGTTGAGAAAGAATATGTTGAGGTGGGAATATCCTGGGCTGTTACAGAAATGTAGCATATTTGTTGGCCAGTTATGTTGTTTGTGTTTTGTGAAATGTAGGATGTTATGGTCATAATCTGGAAGCTACAAAGAGATTCTAATTTCTTGCAAACATGTGAACTGCTCCTGGAAGAAGTGTAGGAAAAACAAATTTTTTTCCCATGAACCTAATGCAACAAATTGGAATTATCTAGGAAGAATTTGCAAGTAGACTAAGCGAACTGCCTGCCTGGAAGTATCATGAATGTCATTAGACTCCTTGAATATCTTTGGTTTACTGTTAATAGATAGTTAATTGGTTGACAAAACAAGCATTGTTCAGATAAGCCAAAGACTTAGCAAGTTTTTACTGCATGAAAATACTGTTTTGAGCTGATAGTCATGAATTAAGGAGATCTAATTTCTTGCTGTCATTCTTGTCTATCTTGCTTCTTTGGTGTCATTGTCACATTTGACACAAACATTGAGGACTCCTGTGTCCTTTGTCTACCTTCTTGATATGGACCAGTCGATTGTTATGCAGAAAGTGTGGCTTTTAAACTTGTGTAGACTTATGCAGTCATTGTTAAAATTATTGGAAATGAAACTTATTTTGCTTTTTGCAGCATCTGAAGAAAGCAGGAATGCTTACAGATAAGAATCATGCTGTTCCCCTTGAAGCCAATGAAGAAGAACTGCTGTTGGCCCATGGCAAATCTTATCTGAATTCTCTAAAAGTAAGTTTGCTGACATTCTTATGTCTAGAATTAGCTGTTTGCTAATGGTATGTGGTGACAAGGTTGAGATGGAATTGTGAACTTGGTGACTAAGCANATCTGGTAAGATCAAAAGTAAGAGCCAAACTAAGTCTTAATGAGTTGGGTACCACTGAAGTTTTGCCATTACTTTGAAGAGGTAGTACCAGAGACTTAGCACTCCAGAACTTATGTTTCATGGTTATTTTGGTCTGGGAATATCAAATGAGCCCTGTATTGGTATGCAGCCCACCTTTCATATCCAGGCTTTTACATGAACATTTTCTGTTACAAGTTTGTCTAAAAACATGTTGAGAAAGAATATGTTGAGGTGGGAATATCCTGGGCTGTTACAGAAATGTAGCATATTTGTTGGCCAGTTATGTTGTTTGTGTTTTGTGAAATGTAGGATGTTATGGTCATAATCTGGAAGCTACAAAGAGATTCTAATTTCTTGCAAACATGTGAACTACTCCTGGAAGAAGTGTAGGAAAAACAAATTTTTTTCCCATGAACCTAATGCAACAAATTGGAATTATCTAGGAAGAATTTGCAAGTAGACTAAGCGAACTGCCTGCCTGGAAGTATCATGAATGTCATTAGACTCCTTGAATATCTTTAGTTTACTGTTAATAGATAGTTAATTGGTTGACAAAACAAGCATTGTTCAGATAAGCCAAAGACTTAGCAAGTTTTTACTGCATGAAAATACTGTTTTGAGCTGATAGTCATGAATTAAGGAGATCTAATTTCTTGCTGTCATTCTTGTCCATCTTGCTTCTTTGGTGTCATTGTCACATTTGACACAAACATGGAGGACTCCTGTGTCCTTTGTCTACCTTCTTGATATGGACCAGTCGATTGTTATGCAGAAAGTATGGCTTTTCAACTTGTGTAGACTTATGCAGTCATTGTTAAAATTATTGGAAATGAAACTTATTTTGCTTTTTGCAGCATCTGAAGAAAGCAGGAATGCTTACAGATGAGAATCATGCTGTTCCCCTTGAAGCCAATGAAGAAGAACTGCTGTTGGTGGTACCGTTTAGAATAGACTTAAGAGATTTTCATTCAAACGACTGTAAGAATACAGATCTTAATCGACAAACGATTACCATACACCACTGTTCCAACTCTACCTTAACACTTGAACCACTGATTCGTGGCTCCAACAGAAATAGGATAGAGGTATTATCAAGTTGGTGTTGCAATATGAATACTGTATGAGTCTGTCTTTCTGATCTTATGTGGTGACAAGGTTGAGATGGAATTGTGAACTTGGTGACTAAGCAGGCTCCAACAGAAATAGGATAGAGGTATTATCAAGTTGGTGTTGCAATATGAATACTGTATGAGTCTGTCTTTCTGATCTTGTATTCTATCCACCCTTCTAGAAATCATCTCATGAAGCTGATATGAAGCATCCATAAGAGACTGTGTAGGGGTTGCTTGTGTGCTGTTTCACCCCTAAATAAAGTGTCATCCTATTTTCATACTAAGTCCACAGGTAATTTTTCTGCATTTCCCCAGTTGACAATCCAACTGACAATTTTTAACTTTCTTTTGGATTGAGAAAGAAAAGAGATTAATGGTTGGGGAAGAAAATTAGAACGGATTTTATTTTCAGAAGTTGAAATGAAAAATTCTTTTTCAAATTGTCAATGAAATTGAAATCAATGTTCTGATATTGATTGATAGTTTGAAATGGAATCAAACATTAGCATGTCGGCACAGTTATGTTGACATACATAAATGCATATATTTTCAAAACTTTCATTCCTAACATAACAGAGTTGTGGTTGAAGTAGACCCAAGAGCATCCTGAAATGTTCCCAGTCCTGGACAGTAGACTTGAGCCTAGTACGTGGGGAGCCAAGCCTCTTGTGACAAAACATCACAGTGTCGGTTNCTTGAGCCTAGTACGTGGGGAGCCAAGCCTCTTGTGACAAAACATCACAGTGTCGGTTTTTCACCTTGTATGAGGCATACTGAGTGGTTTTTTCTTGATCATCTGGGAATGAGAGACTCTGGATGAAAGTCTCTTGCGATCATGTGAACAATGTAGTGGAACCACCAGACTTGAGATCTCTCTATGTGAAGATGCAGCTGCGTGATATAGAGGTTCTAACGAATGGCAGCACTCTGCATCCTATCATGATGATGACTACCTGGCTTAATTAAAACTCACATTTCATTAGCTTGCATCTGTAATCTGAATCTTTCATTTGCTATCCAAAGTTCATGGCCATGGGTGAGGGGGGGAATTACATCTCTCAAATGTAAGAGCCTTACTTCCTTAAAAATGTCAGATTTGGCAATTGCCAAAGCTTCTAAAAATTTCCTTAATGTGATATTGTTAATTTCATTTCCATAATGCTTGTCACTCAAGAATGAGAACCTAAGGAACTATATTTTCACTTGTTCAAGTGGCACCCCCCTCAACATATGGGTGCACAACTCAGGATTTCTCAAGCAAACCATGAATTCCTAATTCAATGACTGACCCAATTTAGACAACTCTGAGTAAGATTTCACTAAATCTTGTAGTAAGTCTTGGCATCCATGTATACTCGTTCATCTTCCTGATGCCAAAGTATTATACAAGGAATTATGATTCAATGTTTTGGAAATGAATTTGTCATTTCAGTGGAGCTACAATGTTATGGCGATATTGGAAGCCCCCTTCATATTGTTGATTCCAAATTACTTCATCCAGCGTTTTGTTTTGTCAAAATTCAGGTGTGTGTCACTCTCCTGATTCTCATTATATCATGCCATTTATATATATTTTAAAATAATCATAAGTTAATTTCCAAAATATCTGCTTTGACAAAAGCAAGAAACTTTGAAAATGATGCATCATTTTGCTTCCAGTCAGAAAAAATCACTGCTCAAAGGTTTAGCGTTGTCTTTAACCCTTTTCAAGACTCTAATGACCTATGTTGTGCATCAAGCTAGTACACATGAGACTCTGCTTGCTTGACATGCAATGTACATTATTGAAGTCTCAAATGGTTAATAAAACTAAAATTGACCTTGACTGGTATGCAAGAACGCATAAAATCGATAAAATAGTTATTTTGGGGGTCATATGATGTGTTTGATAGGTTGGCCATATGCAGAAAAATTTCATACCCATCATAATATGGTATCATGATATATATGACAATTGCTTCCATCTGTTATGATCCAGAGCTTGTTTATTCTGCTTTTATCATGCAATCTGGGCAGTTTGCTGTGTGTTTATACTAACCCAATTAGTTATGTGAACTGTCACAACTTAACCCTCATCCGGGCAAGCTTTTTTACAACCTATTCCGGGCAAGGTGAGTCTGTCAGACTCACGCAAAATAAGGCCATTTGCTGCGGTTACAGTATGTATTCTTATAAATAACAGTACTGTAACTAAAATAATACAGACAATTTATTCAATGGTCCTGATAGTTAAAAAAAATAATGAGAGTAATAGACCGAAATATGTCGTAGTGAGTCCAGCGGACTCACCTTGCCCGGATTAGGGTTAAGCTGAGTGCAGTTACTCTGGGATAAAGTAAATCCTGTATGATTATTTTTATCAATCCACGGCAATTGGAATTGAAGTGGTAGACTGGTAAATGGAGTCAGATTAATACCATTAAATAGTCACACAACACTCTGGTCAGTCATGTGCAAATATGCTCATGTATTTGTATTTCTGGGTGGGAGACAATGGATAAGAAGGTTGTCATCAGGAAGACCCACAAATACCTCTCTTGATAGGTATAAAATACATCTAAGAATAGGCCTCACGATGGATACCTAGAAATGGTTCTTGCATACGAAGCTGAGCAAATTATAGACCTATTGCCTGATAATATCTCGATAGCTACCATGTAATAGGCTATCAAGGGATAGGTTCATGCATACAGGCCCTTATTAACCCTTTTGCTACAATAAGTGACATTATTCTTATTTTTTTAGTCATTATGCTTTGCTGCATAATTTGAATTATTTAAATACCTAATCCAAAACTCAATCCTCAGAAAAAGGGTTAATATGAGAACATACAAATTCCATTTTACTTTTACTTCTGCTCAGGAAGTAATGCAGAGCACTGAAGCCTGCTATGAGAGTAGCATCCTCTTTTCAATCCTGACTTCACTGTCAGTGTTAAATGCTTACAACTAGCAAGGGACCATTGTCACTTCCATGGTGGTAAAGAAGTGAACAAAGTGGAGGAGTCTAGATGTAGGAGACATAAGCAAATCTACCTTCTCGAAATTGCTAGTCACTGCTTCAGATTCAGGAAAGCAACAATTGCTGGAATCACATAATGTATGAAAAAATGGAACTAAAGGAATCACATAATACATTAGAAAAATAGAGCTAAGGTTTGATTATTGCCATGTTCTTCCTTCAGTTTGGTGCAGGTGAGGTGGATTTCATTTATCAGCATAGAAGGGGATATGATGCAAGTTTTTTCTCTATTTTGTATTCACAAGACTGATCACATTAATAAGATGTCATGTGCCGTGTGATCTGAAGACATGTTAAGAAAAACCATATACCATAGCATGCATGAGTCTTGAAGATAATGTTAATTGAAATGTTCTGGTAGATCATTTTATGATTCAGGAAGGGCTAAATGTACTGTAGAGGTATCAATGGCAAACAATGGAAATTTTCTTGATGTGGATGTAGGTACCATGTTGGAGGAACAGTGCTAGCTGGAAAGTTAGCCATGGAAAGAGGTTGGGCCATCAACATCGGTGGTGGTTTACACCACTGCTCAGGGAATTCAGGCGGCGGACTCTGTCCCTACGCTGATATCACGTTGTGTGTTTACATGGTCCAGAAAAATTTCTCCCAAGTGAAAAAGGTCATGATCATTGACTTGGATGCCCATCAGGTAAAGACTGGCACTAAAGCATTGAATTTCTTAATCCACTATCCTCTGACCTATTGGCATGGAGCTCCTGTGTTGGATTGAGATATTGGTGCCTTTTTTTCTAGGGAAATGGTCACGAACGAGACTTTATGGACGATAAAAGCATTTATATCTTCGACATGTTCAACAGTAGCATATATCCTGGAGATAGAGAAGCCATGAAAGGCATCACCCTCCCAGAGAAACTGTCTTCTGGAACAGATGACTCTACCTTCTTGAATCTTTTAGAAAGGTAAGGTGATGTATCGAACAGGCACAAAAGCTCTCCATGAAGGTGTATGTCCATAGGCTGGTATTGTTTTTCACACAATTGGAAAGTGCATCCATGTCTCATTGAGAGTATCCAACATAATGCAGAAAAAGTTTTGTAATAAGTCATAACAATAACTTTCAGCTCATTCAAATTCAAATTAAAACCATTCTTTAATGGTGACAGAGTACTTTGTGCCCAACATGTAGTTCCTCATATCTACTTAACAAGTAGCAGTAGCCTTTTTCACTGCTTGTGTGTCGTGTACAATGAGAAGCTTGTTAGATTGTCATATTGACATAGTGATTGAAATTTATTGAGCTCAAATTTTAGATCTCATTGTGCAACTTTGAAAAGGGTTCAAGCATATTTTGAATCTGCCTAATTCTCATTGTGATGTTTTGTGCTCCTCTTCAGGAATTTGGAAAAAGCCTTCAAAGAATTCTCACCTGACTTCATTCTTTACAATGCTGGGACAGACATCATGGCTGGGGATCCCACAGGACTCATGGAAATTTCTGATAAAGGGGTAATCAAGCGTGATGAGCTGGTCTTCCGTGAAGCTTATTCCCGCCGAATCCCAATAGTCATGGTGACTAGTGGTGGCTTTCAACGGAGGGCAGCTGCCGTGATAGGCGACTCCATTCTCAATTTGAGAGATAAGGAGTTGATCACTATTGAACCATGGCCTGAATTCACTCATTCCAAAGATGGCAATGAAAGTTGAGTGTGATATGCTTGGTGCCTAAATTTGAGATCCATGTCAAAACAATACCTGCAATCATATGAAGCTGTGATTCCTGTGATTCCCATTAAAGTACCTTATTCATTTGTCTCTTAAGTACAGGTAGGCCTGTATAACTACTGGAAGGGTGTAAGAAATGTTTCTGACTTATTCAGAGCTTCTTAATTGGAATTATCTTTGATGAGTTAAACTATTTTTATGAAATGACCTAGAGGGAGAGAAGCAATTATTCTCTACTGACTGAAAAATTTTGCAACCCTGATGTTTGTACTTAAGTATAAAAGTTTCTCTTATGGCCTAATGCTATGGACAATATAAGGCAGGTTTTATTACTTTCATTCCTTGTCTGTAACATCAGCTATAGGCCAACTCATAAATAGGCCTGGCTGTTTTCACGTGGTTTTGTTTAACTAGCCAGGGGATGTGCCAAACACCCTCAACAACTATGCTTTTTTACCCTCAGGCTGGTTCTGTTGTGTCCACAGATAAATGGACTGTGTGCAAGGAATTGTCTGTGCTTAATGGGAAGACTGTGATTTAAACCCCTTGTGCAATGTTAATCTTCTATATGGTACAAGGTTCCGGTGACTAAATGTTCTCCTTGGTGAATGTGATCAATTAGGAGAAAACTGTAAGTCACATATATTGATTTTGATCATTTTTGCTTTTGATTCTAGTTATAGCAAAGAGATTTGAACTTGGCTGACTTGATGCATTTTGATGAAAATATTTGGCATGAGAAATATAACTCTGGCAATTGCCTTCATCTTACTGAGTTGGGACAACTTGAAATGTATTTGTTGATATTGAATGCTGTCAATCTTTTTTTGTTTGTCATTGTAAGTTTCGTTTCTATTTTTGCTTACTCCTCTTGGGAAAGTCGGAAGAATGGGAGCGGAATTGAAGTTTTCGAATCTGAGGAAATTAGGAGGGAAAAATTGTTCAAATCGAAAAGATTTAGTAAAGTTTCGTGACATCTGTCCCCTTTAAAAGTACTCTTAACTCTAGTTTCTCTGAACCTCACTAATCCAGACTTGTTAACAGAAGAGATAGAACGCCACTGAAATATTCCCATCTCTGCTTCCCATTACCCTAGAAAAGAAACTGGATGCTTTTATGGACAGGCAAAAAGGTGGGGGGGGGGGCAATGGTGACGTTTGGTACTAGACAGTAAGCAACTAGGATATGCAAAAAAAACTAAAACTACAATAATATATGGCTTTAAGAGGATTAGGTCTACCCTAAAATTAAAGAATGCTCGACTTCTATACGTGATATCGAAATGGGTGAAATCGCCTTTTTATATCACTATCTGGAATTTCGAAAATATGTATAAAAGGAAAGCCCTCATCTCGTTTTGCTTCCCGCCTTTCATGGTAACGGCTAATGAGGTTTACAACGTCATGGAAATTTCTATTGCATTATTGCCATTTTCATCTGTCCTCTTTAGAGCTTCCATTACTTTCTTGCATCCTTTCGTGAGGGTAAGCGTCCTAGGCTTGATCTAATCTGGTTTTATTTGCGGGAGTCAGGGCAGAAAAAGATGCTCCGATTTTTCGATGCTGCTAAAAGGATTTAATGATTCTCATTCGCATGAGGGAAAGTGAATGAATGAATACACTTTCAAGTGTGCTGATTTTTTTTTTTTCCGCCACGCAAAAAAAAACAAACACGGTTTTCTATAAGCCGTCTCTCGTGTGGATAAGAAATGGAGCGAAATGGACTTTGACACATAAAGATTCTCCCGGGCATCCTGAAAATCTGGAATGAAGTAATCATAGGAAAAGGTGAGAAAAAAAAAGCAATCATGAACATGTGAACGCACATTATCTACAGAGCGGCCTAGTCGACGGGATGGCATCCCCTTGCAATATCATCAGCCTGACGGAATTCCCTTCGGAGATGAGCCAGGAAAATACGATCAATCTCTCAGATGACGATTACGGTCGCGGCGACTGCGTCTCGCCGATTCGGGGATTCCGAGATTGGACGCTTTTCATGCGAACGATTCCGCCATGCCCGCAGGTTGACGAGTTTCCTGGCACCGAACATCGACGACGTCGATCCGCAAGCGTGGATGTTTGGAGACGGAGGTGAGCACGACGTCCAGGGTTGCCCGATGTGGCATTCCAGGTTCCGGCAGCAACCCTGTCTACGACGATTCTCTGCTGCAACTGCGGAATGGAAAATGGCGGGAAAGGTGACAAGGTGGCCCGTTACGGCATCCTGGGTCGAAATCGAGCGTTATTTTAAAAATACAAGAAAAAAAACTTTAGTCAGCTCTCCTTAATCCGGACTCGAGGGGACTGGGGATTTTGCCCGAATTAACGGCTCATCCGGATGATCGAGAATCTGCCCGAGTGACCGTTCATTTGTCTTCTTTTTTCCTGGAGAATGCTGCACCCGTAAAGAGGAAAAAAGGTCAAATATTTTTTTTTTGCACGGGAATCGGGAAACTTGGGCTCTGTTCTTCCGATCAGTCCCAGAGAAGAAATTCGAAATTTGATTTCGCGTCGATTCCTGAAAGGAGGGACAGCATCCCGTCTCTCGCGACGTTTCTCTGCGTCCTTTGCAGCCGGCGTAAATAGGAAATCGGCCGGGGGGGGGGGGGGGGGAGGTTTAACCCCCTCTTCCGTCGATATTGCAATATCGAATCGATTTGGTGCAGCAACTTGCCTTTCCCCCAGAGCCTCGTCCACGCCGGAAACTTTTCTTGGACGATCAAAGAATGTTCATGAAAGAAAACGTAGGAAGATATCTACCAGAGCTCTGAAAACGAAACTTTCCTGTCGAACAAGTCCGGATTAACGGGTGAGAATGGCCAATGTTTTTTTTTTTTATCATCCAGGGAAAGATAAAACTTGTCCGGATTAAATGGGGAATTTTATACTTGTTTCTAAGGGACTTCTGCCGGGAATATCACTACGTCCTTGTTACTTAATATTGCTTTTTGCTTCTTTTTATTTGTTTATTTATTCAAGTAAAGGCATCTACCTTCTCTTTGGGCAGGGGCGTGCAACCTTCATCGGCAGTGGGCCACAGAATGCAAAAGATAAGGCTCCCCTCTTTTGTCCACAGGGCATATTAAGGCATAAGGTCGCGCTGATTGGCCGATCATCCTTATCTCCTCCGCGCTGATTGGCTGATGATCCTTATCTCCGCCTCACCCGTAAGAAATTCCAACGTTCAAAAATGGCCTTTGGCATCGAGAACCTTCTTCCTTGGGACATATGTAGCATCGCCCGCGCGAAGAAAATTTTAGAAGTGAAAGGACTCAGTCATGTTACTGAGGGATGACCAAAGTTGTGATGGGCCTTCGACCGCAAAAAAAACTGTTATCCCATTATGTATTACCGGATCGCAAGAAGCAGGTCCACCGGCCACATCCCTGTCTTAGGGCAACCACAACATGGTTTCTCGCATTAACCACCAAGTCAAAAAAGTTCTTTCGCGACCCGAGTCTCACTTGAGACTTTCACAACTTGAACCGATTCCCTCTCGTTCGCCACGTTACCAACTAAATTAGAAAATCGGCAAATTTCCAATAGGTCACGATGGGAACGGCCGATAATGAGATTGAGCGTCCCGGTCAAATTCACAGGCCGGTCCAGCGGCTCGCGCACGAACTGGGGATTGAAGCCCGCCGAAGTCTCTGCTGTCGCGCTCGTGCTGGCCATGCCTTCGTTCCGACCTCGCGACCCCCTTGGATGCAGACGCATTGCGCATGCGCGGGATGGAAATACGCAGTATGGCTGCGAGCAGAGAAAGCGTGAAAGGCAGGCTTACTTCAAATTGCCCAGAGAGCCTTCTTGGCTTATCGTTAAGCTAGTTGGTCTGCTGCTTGGTTCTCTCGCCTATGAGAAGTCCAACCATGGAAATTATTATCGCTTTTCTTTCTTAAGGCCTTAATGATGCGATAGACGATAGGCCTAAGTGTACCGCCAGGTTAGGATTGATGGATAACTTGGTTGATGCAGGCGTGGGGCAGAGGTACAAGTCAGGCTATGAGATCAGCATCAATGGAAACTCATTTTTATTGGCCCTATGGTTATAACCAGACCGAAGTTTGATTGCTTCGGCAATGACTCAATGGCCCAGTGAACAAAGCCTTCGATCTTCATCTAATGTTGGATTTAGTCCTCCAGGCCTTGCCTGCATGAAACTGACAGAAACTAGGCCTGCGATATGCCCTTCTGACCTGCCAGGGTTCCCGTGAAGTTAGGAAAAAGATGGTAGCAAGAAAGGAAAGTTGAAATTGGAAAACTCCCATGGAAGAGAGTAAAAGTACCAAGTAGATGATTGGCCAGAGGTAACAAAGTCTTTTGCCATGCTTTCAATGCAGACAGAGGGGGAAATGAATATCGAACCTTGAAAGGATAAAGATGTGAAACCTTCTGTCCAACACCCCTCTGCCACTGTCTTTTATGGACAACTGGGAGTGAGAAAAGAATAGCTTCATTAATTCTGTCTAGCGACAGTCTGCCTATTCCATGAAAAGGGCAGCTCATATTTCCAAAGTGCATTTAAGATCTAAGCATGTCATGCTTGTGAATTCATTCTTCAGCTACCTTTTGCCATTTCAAAACCAGACCTGAGACAAAGTGTCAGGCAAATGATGAGAAATTGCACCCCATTCAGGTTTGTGCCAGTAAGCTTTACTTCATTGGGACAAACTATAACTGCTGGTATTTATATAATTCCTTGCCATAACCTTGAGAGAAGCACTAAAGCCTGTATTCATGGGACCTTTGATTTTTTACTGCTTGCTTCCTTTATTTTCCCTCTCCCCCCTTCTCCCTTCCATATTTATAATGTACAGTGTGCTTTAAGATTGACTGTAAACTAAAAAGCCAATTATTGTTTATAGATCTAGTCCATACTATTTGCAAGAAACAAAAGTTAAAGAAGAGCATTCCAAAGAGTACCCATGGCATCCTCACGTCTCTACACCAATGTGGATGAAAAATGCTGGTCGATAATTTATAGCCCTCGGTACAATATCAAATTTTGTGGTCTGGAAAAGGTTCATCCTGCTGACTCCTGCAAATATCAGCATATATTCGAGGTGAATGATAGCTTACAATTCAAGTTTTCAATTTCTCACTTAAAAATCCCACAGGATTATTCATGCAAGTTACAAATGATTTCAATAGCCATTGGGATTCAATGAAAACATTTAAAAGCAGAAGTGGGGCCAACCTTTGCTTTATAAGGCTGGTGTTTTTTATAATGAAGGTATAAAACTAATGCACAAACATAAGTATAAATTTGTAGATGCTAAGTATTTTTCCACTGGCAACAAACTATATGCTTGTAAATTGATGGGGCAAGGTAGACCAAAACAAGTGGGAAAGATTTGCAGTTTTGCATGTGAAAAGGGAACTGGGGAGATTAAAGGTAAGTGTCAAACTAAGTCTTTATGAATTGGATACCACTAACGCATAATTTTTCTATTGCATCGAAGAAGTATTACCAGAGACTTAGGACTCCAGCACCTAAGTATCATGGGTATGTTGGTCTTGGAATATCAAGTGAGACCTGTGTTGATATGCAGCCCACCTTTTCATATGCAGACTTTTGCATGAACATTTTCTGTGAGTATATCACGAATTTGTCTAAAAACATGTTGAGAAAGAAATATGTTCAGGTGGGAATATTCTGGGCTGTTACGGAAATGTAGCATATTTGTCTAAGAATTTGATGGCCTGTTATGTTGCTTGTGTGTTGTGAAATGTAGGAGTTTATGGTCATAACCTAGAAGCTACAAGGAGATTCTTATTTCTTGCTCAAACATGGATACTGTTCCTGGAAGTGTCATGAATGTCATTGGACTTGTTGAATTTCACTGGTTTACTCT